ACTGCAATATTAAATTTCTTGAAAAGATTAAATTGTTTTCCAAATGCATTCATTGCATATAGAATCCTATTGACTAGTCTTGTTACGGTTGCATCTGCAGAAAGAAGTTTTTCAAAATTAAAATTGTTAAAATCATACTTGCAATCAACTATGTCGCAAGAAAGATTAAACGGACTAGCTTTGATTTCAATTGAAAGTGAACTTCTTGAAAAACTTGATTATGAACATTTGATTGATGATTTCTCTTCTAAAAATTCAAGAAGATCAAATTTCAGACATTAGTATTGTACTGGCTATGTTTTTTTTCTTCTTGGGTGAAAGCTCTCGTAATAGTTTTTTTTTTTTTTTGGGGAAAAAGGCAATTATTATTAATTATTAAAGCCGAACGCTGACCTTGGCATCAACTGCCAAAGTATTAAACAGGCTCTCGTAATAGTTTTAATTCTTCAAATAAGACAGCAAATACAATGTGAATGATTTTTGGATAATCGGGTATGTTTTTATTGTTGCTTTTGTGTTTAATGCAATATAATCTAATTTGTTAATGACATTTGTGTGCAACTACTCTTTAATTTGTGATTGTCAATTTTTTTTTCCTATTAAACACAGATTGCTTATTGGAGGCAGCAAGGGACCTTATAGGGGCACAAGGAGCTTATTTTTGTACGAAACATTTAACTTTATCAAATGGAAACATTTAAATTTTTATGAATTTAATTTCTAATTGTCATTACATATTTATTGATGGTGAATTTTAGTTATAAAAAAATTGTTTATGTAATGACAATTAGAAATTAAAATACATAAAAATGCGATATCATCAGTTATAAATTCCGCAGTGCGTCGTGCAATACTGATGATGACGCTGGTTTGGTTTCGGTAACTATTCTGCACCAAAACAACAATACGAACATGATCACATGATGATGACCTAGCAATTGCATTGACATTATTAATTCCTCTGCCTCCTCTTTCTCTCTATATATGATATCTGACCTTAGTTGGTTACATGGAGCGTTTTTGTACAGAAAGTACCTTTTATATAGGGCTCGGGAGTTTCCAAAGAAAACAAAATTAGGCAATAACAACTTGACAAATCATCTGTCTGTCTATAATATAATGTATTTATTAATATTAAATCATGTATCTTTCTGTAATATAATGTATTAATTAATACTTTACTTAACATATATATGGACTAGGAACAACATATCAACTTGGTATTACATTGGACTTAGTCTCCAAATGCGAATTATGATGTTACATGTCTTTCAAATTAATCAGAAAGTCACGTTGATTCGTTTGATTGTTTTTTTCTTTGTGTGTCAGCCCCAAATCTCAGTTACACCCGAATCTGCTGGCATAAAGAAACTCTCATGCATCCTCGGCTAATAACGCAATGACATGTATAATAAATTTTCCACTTATCATTGTGTTATTGACTAGGAATAACAAAACAGTAATATTTCCGTTATATATAAGTAACAAAAAAATACACGGGGGACATAATGAGCCTTACTCCTCAAAAACCCCGTATTTGATACCGCTATTAAAATAACATATATTTAAAATAATATATATTCAAAATAGTCATTTTCCAAATTAGCATAATTGTTACTAGAATTCCCCAAAAAAACAATAGCCCAATACAAAAGTGGAGGAAGAAGACCTCTATGGAGTTGAGAAGAAGCAGCCTTGGAACTGGTGCAGCCGATCAATAAGAGTGTTGGGTTTTTTTTTCGCTTGGTTAGCCAGCCTAGTGGGGATTAGTTAATAAGATTGGTTTAGGCTAGGGTACTATTTTAGTCTTTTTTTAAAAAGTCTCCTAGGCTATAGCCCAGGTTAGCTTGTTAGTAGTATTGTCCTTGCTTAAAACCAATAGTTCATTATCTAATGAATTTTTCTGTTCTAATACTCCATCGAGAATTATCAGTATTTAATATTTATCAAAGCTGTTCCTATTAGTAATCTCCTAGCTTAGACTTTCTGATTAGTTTGACAGGGATGTTGTCAATATCCTTATTGCCTTCAAATTGCTCCATTCCTGACTTCTCTTGCGTTTACTTGCAATCAGGAATGAAAAAAATAAGTGGGCCCCACTTCAAAATTCATAATCATATTCCCTCAAAACTAGGTATCAAATCAACTAGGGGGAGTAGTCGATACGATTCTCATTCCTGTTTTCTCTTAATAACTTCCAAAAATACCTTTATCACTTTATCATAATTCTAAAATTAATTTGGATTCTAATTCATGCAAATTAGTAAACAATAACAATGGGAATCAATCTCATTCTTTTGCTAATTTCATATGTTTAGTAAACAACTTAATGGGAATTATTCTTCCCATACTGATTCAGTAGTTCCCCGATTCCTAAATTCTCTGATTCCTTACTTTCTTTATTACTGATACGTAAACATGCCCTATAATATCATTCCTGAAAGAAATATGACAGGGACGTCACTGCCGCTCCTAGGACTAGGTCCGCAACGTCACCATCGTCACCCTAAATAGTCACAATATTAATTAATATTGTAGCTGCCATATTTGACTGATAACATATAAAATGGACTAGGAACAACATATCAACTTGGTATTACCTTGGAATTAGTCCCAATGCGAACTATGATGTTACATGCCTTTTAAATCAATCAGAAAGTCACGTTAATTCGTTTAAATGTGGGTCAGCCCCAAATCCCAGTTACACTAGAATTTGTTAATAGAGAGAAACTTTTATATAACAGGAATAACACTTTTTGTTGTCCCAGTCAATAACACAATGACATTCCACATGTTATTATGTTATTAGTTAGGGATAAGAAAACAGTGTTATCGCCGTTACATATAAGTTTTGTTGCTGCTAGCAAGGTGGCTTGGACTCTAATGCACACTGACATGCCATAGCCCCATGCCTCATCCAAACCCAAAAAAAAAACAAGACAAAAAAAACCAAACAAACAAACAAACAACAACTCCTTCTCTAACCATATAATTAACTGTAGAAGATACTTGTGGAGGAAAGAAGTGCTTATTCTCTAATTTTATTGTGTGGAAAATCAGTCATCTAATCAATTTATAGTAAAATTTAATAGCGCAAAAGAAAGTGGGTAACAAATAAAATTCTGAATAAATGGGGGACTGACAGGTATGACTTGTAGGACATTGCTTTGTCATTTCTCGATCATTTCTTATCAATAATACGCAAGAAGGTACTTTGAATTGTTGATTCATCGCCAAAGATGACTTAGAACCAGGGACGGATTCAGGATTTGAAAATGACATGGGCTAACCTTACGTACAAACTTATTGAAAACTCGACGATACATTGCTTTGAATAAATGGGGGACTAACAGGAACGGCTTCTAGGACATTGCTCTGAAATTTCTCGTTCATTTCTCATAATTCATTAGTAATCTCCGAGCTTTGATTTTTTGATTAGTTTGATCGGGATGTTGCCAATATCCTCATTGCTTGAAATTGCTCCTTCATTCCTCAAAATAATTTAGTAACCTTCTAGCTTGGACTTCCTAATTATTTTACTGAGGACCTGTTTGATAACCATTTCATTTTTCATTTTTAGTTTTTATTTTTTATTTTTTATTTTTTGTGCTAAAGTATAGAGGAAAATGAGAGTGAGAATGAGAGTTAGGATGAGATTGAGAGAGAATGAAGATAACACCATTTCAATCTCTCATTCTCTCTCAAATAGATTTAGGAAGTGAAAACAATTTCAAATATATTTCATATTTTTGTTTGTGTTTTCACTTTTGTTAATGTAGACTAAGGGCCAATTTGTCACTTTTGTTAAGATGAATGATGAGAAGTAGAAGAACGAGGAGAAAGAGAAGCAAGCGTGAAAACATATGGGGTTATTTTTGGAATTATGACATTTTCATTAAACTCTAGTTCCCCTCCAAACTGATTGCCGCATAATCAGAAAATGAAAGCAGCTCTATACCAGCTTTCCTTTATTGCTTTCTCTCACAACAATTTTTAACAATAAGAGATTTTCTCATGGTTTATCAAACGAGCGTCCGTTTAGCATTGATTATTTAGGGTGATAAGTGATTTCCCATTCACCCAAGTATATACTCACCAAAGTAACCTTAATCATTGTCACCGCATCAGTCTCACATGCACAACCTGGGTAATATCGATTCAATAATATTCTTTTAAATGCAGATAATATGACAGCCACATATATTCATGGGACATGCATCACTACCTGTGTAATGTCGATTCAATAATATTTCTTTTAATGTTATTTATATTATTATTATATTATATTTTTTGTTTTAAATATTTTAACAGATTAAAAAATATATAGTTAATTATGATTTTATCAATATGAACATGCATTAAGTCTTAAGAAGAATGATGAGACTACACATTGAGTTAAAGGTGGTGAGCAAAATTGCTCCCAATGAATTACAAGGAATCCTTCATGATTCAATTATTATGCTGGTAGTTAGTCAATGACACAATAATTATGCTTGGTGGTTCGTCTACTTTGTGGGTAGATTCGGTGTAGTTGTGATGCTTTCATTTCACCAAGCCTTCTAAGAGCATCTCCAACCGATATGTCAAACGTGTCACATAGACATTTAACAGCTATAAATAACATCTCATATCACTCCAACCGATGTGTCAAAACTGATGTGGAATGAAGGTTGGAGGTTGAAATGTTATTTTTGACATCCCAAAAACAAAATGTCAAATGAATATTTTATTTTATTTTTTTTCTTTTCTTTTTAACTAAAAATAAATCAACACTAAAATGTAATAAAATAATAATTTAATTTGACATATCGAGTGGAGTGTAAAGTTGTATAAGATGTCAAATTGCCACATCAGCCATCAAATTTAAATTTGATGTTTAGTATTTGACATCTCCCTTGGAGATGCTCTAAAACCATCAATTAATGTTTGTCTTCGTAACTCTTCCTCGATGATGTTTACTTGACAAGAATAGGACTTTCCACATAGGGATAGGTATTTATAATAAAATTTTGTATTTATAATAAATTTTGTAGTTATAATAAAGAATATTATATAAAATTTAGGTCTTTGTATAGAATTTTAGTGTGAGAAGTAAGAAATATGGTTAGGTATTTATAATATATAAAAATTCTGAATTTTTTTTTTAAATTTTTTTTTTATTATTTAAATTGGTTGCTGACGTCATTATAGCGTCACTTTGCCCAGACAAAAGCATGGGCTGGACTTGCCTGTGGGTTTGCCTGGGTTGGTGGGTCCCACGCCTTGCATAGGCATTCCCTTACGCACTGGAGCTGTTCGCGGGCCTAGGCCCTGTCCTGCCCGGGCAAAGGGGTTGCGGTGGACTTGCCCTAAGAAACACAACAGAGGGTCTCTTCATACAAATTCCTCTGGCATACGAACGGTCTCCCTCTCTGCATAGGATAGGACTGAAATTTCATAAATTACTCAGAAACCATTTTGCCCAACAAGGAATACATGGTTGTAATCAACTAATACTCTGTCCCTTCCACTAATTTACTCTGATTATTCAGATTATTGATAGTCGTATGCTTAATTATTACTCATAGTAGCATGCATACCTTACAGAACATATCATAATCCCAAACAACATATAATGTTGTACAGCATCAAATTAAAAATGGATTACAAGAAGTGTTTTTAATTCACCACGCCTCGGAAGGTGATTGTGGAAACTCATCTAATGGTGAACTGGGCCCAACAATCGAGGCTTACTCTGTTGAACTTGAAACAGCATCCCAGTGCTCATTTATGTCACTTACAGCAGATTCAACCCCGTTGTAACTCTCTGGAACAGTACCAGTGTTTTCAATCAACATTTGAATGGCCTCCAACTCCGTCACGACCTCTCTCATTGTGGGGCGATTCCTTCCATTCAAATTCAAGCATCTCATTGCAAGGTTAGCAAAAGTTATGATATCTGTTTGGGAGCCCTCCATCACAACCCCAGCGTCAAGAATGCCAAATAGACGATCTTCCTGCATCGAAGGAATGAAATAAGTGGCAAGACTTTTGTATTCATTTCCTTGTGACCCTGTTACTGCAGAAACTGGTTGTAGACCAGTCAAGAGCTCAACAAGGACAACTCCGAAACTATAGACGTCACTTTTCTCTGTAAATTGGCTTGATTGGAAGTATTCCGGGTCCAAGTAACCAAATGTGCCATGTACAACTGTGGTCAAGTGAGTCTGGCCTATCATAATTGATCTTGAAGTGCCAAAGTCAGCAACTTTTGCTCTGTATTTCTCATCTAAGAGTATGTTTGTAGACTTGATGTCTCTGTGATAAATAGGAAAGGAAGCTGCACCATGCAAGTAAGATAGAGCTCCTGCAATTTCTGTGGCAATTCGTAACCGCATTTTCCATGTAAGTGGAAAGTCTTCATTATGCTCATGAATATAGTGGGAAAGGGTTCCATTTGGTATGAATTCGTAAACCAAGAGTGGAACTTCAGTCTCTAAACAACAACCTAATAATTGAACCACATTTCTGTGATTGATTTGTGAAAGAATTACAACCTCATTGATGAATTCTGAAAGTTGGCCTTCATTCAATATCTTAGACTTCTTTACCGCAATGATTCTTCCATCTGCAAACATGCCTTTGTAGACGGTACCTTGGCCTCCCTGACCAAGAATTCTATCAATGTTGTATTTGTCAGTGGACTTCTCTAACTCCTCTGATTTGAACAACTTGATTTTCTCAACATTGATTTCACCTGATGATAATTGTTGTTGTAACAATAAACCACCGTTTCGTTTGAAAAACCTTTCCTTGAGTTTGATGTTTTTCCTTTTCTTTATGACTTTGTATGCATGCCATGCCCCAACGAGTAGTAACAATAGTCCAGGACCCATGAAAAGACCTGCATATATAATATATATATATATATATATAAATATACTTCAACTTATTCATACTGTACCACATCTGTAATAGAGTTGTGACTCACTTACAACTACGTCCCACCTCTTGTATAGATATGTGGTATTAAAAAAAAAATTATATATCAAGCAATTCGCAGGATTGGGAGCCACAACATTCTCCAACACAATGAAATCTAAATACCATTAGACTAAAGGTCAATTATTGGCAACGACTTTTTTCTTTAGAAATTCAAAAATTGATCATCTCTGTATGAAGAAAGACTGATTGTGGGCTTTGTCATCTCCCTGGCTATAAGTTTGTTTTGATCAAAGTTTGCTTCACGACAACAAAAGTATGATGAACTGTGAATAGGAGTATACCTAAAAGAATGGTTCTGATTCGATGGGACCGAGATGTCATAGGATCCAAGTAGCATTCCCAATTAGCTACACCATAATACACACATGTACTTCTAGTTACATTTGAGTAGCATTTATAGCCACCAACGAAATTCTCACATATAGAACTGCCTCCGAATTCCCTTAAAGCTAGTAGATCGGTACACTGATTAAGGTCCTTGCATTCATCAATATCTGAAATGTAATAACAGAAAGGCAAATGAACAAGATGGTGAATGGTGAAGTTTGGTAATTCCAGAATGAAAGGTTAGCTATATATTCAATTTGTATTTTTTTTTAAAGAGGGTTTAAATTTAATTCATTACGTACCTTGACAAGGGTGGAGAAGATAAGGATTTCCTTCAAAGCCCGCCGGACAGGAACAGTGAAGGCTTGACTTATTGTATGTGGAAGAAGTAGTGGCATTGTATATTTCACAATAGGGTGTTGAGTCAATAATATAGTTCCGTTCAAAATCATAATAATCTGGCTCTGTTCCAATAAATCCTTTAAAGGATCTGAGTGAAGTATTGTCTAAGCTGATCTTCCAGTCTAGCACCACAGGTACGCTGTCCATGCCCTGGATAGCTCTATAACTTGATAAATTGTTCACAAACCAATCTTGGTCAACAAGAAATGCATAGCCGCAACCGCCATTTTGATATCTTCCTTGTATTTCAGTAGTGAAAACACTGAGATTTGGAGGAATGTTAGTCTGGCAACAGTTAATTTCGATATCACAGCGATTAGTATTGTTTGTACTCCAATCACAAGTTGATTCGCATCCGTGAAAAACATGCTTTTCTGATCTCACAGTGGCAAGGTGACCGCAAGTCACAGCTGTGAAAATATTGTGCGTCACCGAGTATAGGAAGGGGCTTCCAGTCAAATTTGGAGCTTGGCGAGTTTCCTTTCCCTTGCAGCTGAAGAAAGTAACAGGGTACTTAAACTGAAGCATGCCTTTGATAGAAATGCTCAGCACCTCCAGCTGGGCCAGCCTCAGGAATGGCTTGTCCCCAGTAGATTTGTTGCATTCTAGTTGAAACCATTCATCATAGTAACAATCTTTATTTGGTCCAATCCCAAAAGGGTATGGGATGCTAACATTTCCACAGTGCGTTCTGCAATTAGGCTTTGCTATCGCCGGCGCTGCAAATTTTGATGAGGTCGGTGAAGTACTAGTAGTTGTTATGTGCCATAACAATAGAAGAATGAATATCGTATGTTGAACTTGCAATTGCATTCTTGCCATAATTATTCCTCTTCTTCTTTCTCTGATATCTCATCTTAGTTTTGTGAGAAGTACATACTACATATAGGGAGTCTGCAAATAAAAAACCGAAGTTAGGCAACAATGTGAAAATCGTTTGTGCGTAATTGTGCCATAGAAGATAAAGATTTCGTTCTATATAATATATAGCTAATACAACAAATTCAAAAAAGTAAATGAAAATACAATGAAGTAGACTTAGTCATCTTTACACGCTCGGTGTTTTTTTCTTTCCTGTTCCTTTAACTATTGCAGAAAGTTCAAAGTCTTCTTTGATTCTTTAAGGTGATTAACATTTATATTTATTAACTTTACCTTCAACTTTTGCAGAGTGTTCAAAGTCTTCTTTGATTCTTTAAAGTCATCAATATTTATATTAATCAACTTTACCCGACTCTCTGCTTTTTTTCTTCTTCTTTTTTTGTCATTCGCTACGGAGGTGGTGGAGCATAATTATATTGAGTTCCCTCAAAATTGTCTTCTATGAGAATCAAACCCGGGTGCACTTGGGAGAAGGAGGAGTGTTTGACCCACTTGTCCACAGTGATGTCACCCCATATGCTACTCTCTGCTTTTCAATGACATAATTATCACAAGTTTGTTCTACTATTATAAAGTTATGCTATTGTGGTGTCACGTAGACTATCAAAAATTATTATGACAAACTTAAAATGACATTATGTAACACTACTATTTCTCTAAACTTAAAATCTTTATTATCTATGATTAAGAGAAAATCTCTAGCGCATGTAAGAGCGATCACTCAAATCTAGAGAGAAAGGGATTCGAACTCTAATCTAGAGCGATCACACTACTATTACTCTAAACTTAGCAATCTTTATTATCTATCATAGACTTCATAACCAATTGACCTATCACACACACTCCTAAGGTGCCATGAGAATTTGAACTTGAGACCAGTGGTCTGCAAGTGGCCCTTTACCACTGGACTTTACCCATTGGTTTTAATATTATATTTAAATGAACATTGCTCCACCATCCATAATCAGGTTAAGGCCAAACATGTTTGCAGTGCCTTGCAAAATCAACAAAACTAATTTATGTTACTACACACATTATTTGTTGTAGAGAATTGCATGCTGAGTTGGAGTGTACTTGGTAATTGCTTCACTTTTCAAACAACACTTTATATGAAGAATACTACCATAAATATACCCATAAATATTTGTGTGAAACTGTTGTTCAAGTTAGCAAAGAGATTGCAAAATCACCATCTTGCATTTTTGTTACAAGTAAAAAGTAATCTTTGCCTCTCACATTCTTTCATAGTTAGTAAAATACGGAACAGAAAAAGTACGTATTGTATTCATAATCTTTTTGTGAAATTACAACTGAAAAGTTAGGCTAATATAATTTATTTAAAGTTTTTAACATATATTATTTTTATTCAATAATGTGTATAATACGTGAATTTTGTGTGTATTCTTGAAAATTTTGTAAAAAAATGTGTATAAAAAACATGTGTTTTATCAAGTCTTTAAAACGTGTACAGAAAAAAGATGTATTATTGAAAATATATATGTACGTATGTGTATAATATAAGTATTAAACGTGAAAATGCTAAATTCTTTATATAGGTAATAACTCTGGCAAAGTAAAAAAAATCAAAGGGAACAATAGAAACTCGGGTACTGGCCTAATAGTATTGGATAATGCTCTAAACTACTATTACCGATAAAAGAAACTCGGGGAATTTTTTTATATATAAAAAAAAAAAAGATCCCAATATATATAAAGTAAAGCTGCTAGGCTATTACTATTTATTTTATTTTAAAAACCCCCAATACAGCCGCGAGGCTATACTACTTTTTTTAAACAAATACTCGGGTATAGCCGCTAGGCTATACTATTTGTGGGAAGAAAAAAAAAGGGACTACCTATAATTAGGTGCCCACATGCGCAGGTATGGCCGCACGGCTATACTATTTTAAAAAAATAAATACTGTATTATAGCCGCGCGGCTATACTATTTAGTATAAAAAAGGAGCCACATAACAAAAACTGTATAGCCGCGCGGCTATACGATTTTTAACCAAAAAAAAAAATCATCGTATCGCCGCATAGCTATACTTTTTAAAAATAATATATATATATTTATATTTATATTTATATTTATATATAAGGGCGACCCAAACCCACCTGTGTGAAAGTATAGCCGCACGGCTATACTACTTTTTTTAAATAAAAAATACCATAGTCAAGACGTTCGGCTATACTATTTTAAAATATATATATATTACCTGAGCATAGTCATGCAGCTATACTATTTTGAAAAATACCCGAGAGTAGCCACGCAGCTATACGATTTAGTATTAAAAAAAAGGGACCCACGATTATAATATATTTAAATAGTAAAGCAACACGGCTATACCTTTTATTCTATAATATATATAAAAAAGACCCTCCTAGTTGCGTTAGTTTATACAAGAAGTAGAATAACCTTCCCTTCTTTCTCTGTATTTGATCTTAGTTGGTTAGTACTAACTATAGTTTGCATTGAGCGTTTTGTTGAGAAGGTAGGCGTATATATGGACCCAACCCAGCCCCTCTATTTGTAAAGCAATGCATTCACACATGTGCCACAACAAAAGCCAGAGTCAAACAAAAGTAATAACTCAACTTGGTATTACCTCAAACTAAGTGACAATGTGAACTATGATGTTCAAATCAATTAGAAGTCACTTTAATTCGTCTCTTTTTTTTTTCTATTAGTGAGCCATTGTGAAATGAAACCGTCCCAGTTACACACCAGAATCTGCTAGCAAGGTCATTGGCACACTGGTATGCCCCACGCGGTACATGCAGCAAAAAACCAACTGGAAGTCACATTAATTACAGAACATTAATGTGACAAAAGATGAGTATCGTTGTATCAATACCATCATGCATCAAAACTGTTCCACTTTTGATTACATATCAAATAAATAGAATCTTTAATCTATTCTAATCCTATTTCATTTCTCATCCCTCTGTCACGTCTACCGCGTCTGTCAGTGGTGGCTGGCAAGGAAGCATTATCCCCTTTAAATCTAATAAAAGTAGCAACCTTGAGAACACATTCACAATCAAGCATTTGTTTGGCAACGCAAGTCTCACGAGAAAGCGTTCTCTACATATGCACACATGCTACACAGCATGCAGCCAGTTAAAATGCCCAAATGCAATGACTAGAGTTAAACCAAGAAACTACTTTCGGCCATGAAAGTGTACAGAATTTAATCGAAACTTAAGATTGTCAATATAGTAATTGAACAGGATGGCACTTGAACAGTCTGATTAATGACAAGTGCTTAATTTCATTTAATAATAAATTACAAGACAAGATAGCATAGAAAGTGCTATCGGACTCGGACATCAAGCAATCTCTCTTTAGGGTGCGTGTTGTTCTACGTGCTGTAGTGGTAGTTTCAGAAACAAGGTTCCTTCCTTCCTACTATAATTTACAGTATATAATTATAAGCTGACATGCAAGCTTCAAATAGACTTAGCCCAAAGCAGTACACCTCCACCGACCACAGAAAAGGGTAAAAGAATGCTAACAATTCTTTTTTACGAACAACACCACTATCATAGTTAAAACACTCATCATTTGCAGCCAATTTTTAATTTTCCATTTTTAGCAAAGCATTGGCCTTTAGTAGTCCAGTGAGCCCAACGATGCAATCCCATTGGTTGAGTTTCTCAAGTCTTGTCGACTCACGTAGTCATCGCAGGTGTTGTTGCCACCATTGGAAAGCTTATTGCTTGGGACAGAAGCCGCACGATTGTGGCCTTCCTTTCCCATCTGTTGCACTTCGTGTGGCGAGAGTATTTTGATATACCACACATTGTTCACAAACTCCCTGAATATAAGAGAAGAATCATTTACTTCAACTGAATCATGAAAAAGAACAGTTCAAAACTTCAGAAGACTATATTGTTTAAGGCTCAGAGATGTACACATGCAAAATAGTAACTTAAAACTCTTGAAAAAGTGAGAAAACAGTCAACGATTTAAAATGGCTTAAGCTACTCCCACTTTAAACCTCAAGGCGTTTTCTAAACATTACCGCTGTTTCTGTCCACAAATTTGGGATACCAGCTCCTACACTTTTTAACAATTTGACATACAGAATAAAATCATTACAATAGCTACTTCGAAAACAATAAAATTGCGCCCAGTAATCCAGGATGAAACATTTTACAAAAGTACAGTAATAACTGAAACGCATGGGAAGCTCGAATTTCAGAATTGCCAATGCAAACAGAGTATAATAATTGACTAGTAAGTGAAATGATGAAATACAATTTGGGACTTACTGCCAAGGGTCGTCGCCAAGGAGAAGAACATCATTCTCCCGGTCAACAAATACAAGCTGCCAGCCTGATCTCTGAGGGTCCTCTAATTGGCCTTCAAGGCCAAACATACGCGCAAGCTCACTGCGCAGCTCATCATAGCTGCTGAATTTTGAAATATCCAGTGACCTCCCAAAGGACCCTGACTTGTGAACCTACCAAATTGCAACATTTAATAAAAAGAACATGAGTAACCACTCAGAAAAAGTACTAATTCTTTTGAACAAGTATTCACATGGAAGAAGACTTCCCATGCATCTGACCATTCTGTTAAGAATAAAATGCTTGTAATACACAATCAGAACTATCTTATCTTACCTTCACAAAGTTTCGAGTTGGATTTACTTGGTCCACATTTTCTGAAGACTGCAAGAAACCTGATTCATCTACACAACTTGAAGTAGTCATGTCTGAATTAAGTGGAAAATCATTGCCCGTGGCACTGGTGTAACTGGAAGCACCAAACGGCATAGACAATGAATCATTTCCATTGCCAATATTTCTCAGGGTTGGAATCCCATTGTGCAGCATAAGAGATGAGGAATCAATGTTCACTCCAAACAAAAGATTGCTTTGGGGATCAGTACCGCCTTGGAATGCAGAGTACTCTCTACCAGGAAACGGAG